ACCAATCCCAGTCCATAATGTAGATGGGACCCCAAATGAGAACAGGTCCATCACTGAGGAGGTGGAAGCACTCCTCACCTTCGGGTGACACTCCGAGCGAGCCTGTTTTGCAGTAACTAACCTGGGCTGGCAGTTAGTCATCATCAGCCACTCGTGGCTCCTGCACCACAACCTGGAGGTAGACTGGGCCTGACAAAAGGCCACCATGTCCCACTGCCCACCTGCCTGTCAGAGTCCTAAGGTGGCACCAATGACCCCAGAGGACCCCGACCTCCGGGTGGAACCTGGGGATGGGGTGTACACAGCAGTAATCCCCCCAGGGTGGGGACACGATCTGAGGGCAACCACCACCCCGTCACAGCGAATGGCCCAGGGGGCACAGGACACCACCCTAGGGGACAAACCCTTTGAGGAGGTGGTGCCGGAATGCTACCAGGACTTTAGGGACGTCTTCTCGAAAGAGGCCTTTGATCAGCTACCCCTCCAGAAGCCTTGAGACCACACCATTGACCTCATCCCTGACACTAAACTGCTGCAAGGAAAGACCTTCCCACTATCCCCTGTGGAACAGGGGGAGCTTGACAACTTCCTCAGAGAAAATCTAGCCAACGGATGGATCCACCCATCCAAGTCCCCCATGGGGGCCCCAGTGTTCTTTGTGAAGAAGAAGGATGGCTCCCTAAGGCTTGTACAGGACTACCGGAAGCTAAATGAGATCACGGTTAAGAACTCCTACCCCCTCCCCCTCATCTCCGACATCCTCACCCACCTCCGAGGGGCTAAATGGTTCTCGGCCCTTGACCTGCGGTGGGGCTTCAACAATGTCCACATCAAAGAAGGAGATGAGTGGAAGGCAGCCTTTGCAACCAACCGAGGGTTGTTCGAACCGATGGTAATGTTCTTCAGGCTCTGCAATTCCCCAGCCACTTTCCAAACAATGATGAATGACATCCTCCAGGACTTTATAGACTGAGGGGTCATCATTTGTTACATGGACGACATCTTGGTGTTCACAGCCACCCTGGAGGAACATCGAAAGGTAGTCTGGGAGGTCCTCACTACGCTGCGGAGCCAGAGGCTGTTCCTCAAACCAGAGAAGTGTAAGTTTGAGCAGCAGAGGATCAACTACCTGGGCCTTGTCATCTCAGAGAACCATGTTGCCATGGACCCGGTGAAGGTGCAAGGGGTGACTGACTGGCCAGCACCCACGAAAGTCAAGGAGGTCCAGTCCTTCCTCGGGTTTGTCAACTTCTACCGCCGCTTTATCCAGGACTTCTCTGAGAAGGCCCGACCCCTCCACGCTCTCACCCGGAAATCGAAACAGTGGACCTGGGGGCAGGAGGAACAGGAGGCATTTGACAGGCTGAAGGAGGCTGTCACCTCAGCGCCCATCCTCACCTTCCCATCCAACACAGGCCGGTTCCAGCTAGAGTGTGATGCCTCAAACTTCACAATGGGGGCAGTGCTCTCCCAGCTCCAAGCCAATGGGGAGTTCCACCCAGTGGCGTTCATGTCGAAAGGCTTCTCAGATGCAGAGAGGAACTATGAGATCTATGACAAGGAGATGCTTGCCATAGTCCGAGCCCTGGAGGAGTGGTGTCATTTCCTTGAGGGCACCCCTGAGAGATTTGACATATACACTGATCACAGGAACCTCTCTTACTTCCGGGTGGCTCAAAGGCTGAACCGATGCCAGGCACAGTGGTCCCTCTACCTCTCCCGCTTCCATTTTCACCTGATTCACAAGCCAGGCAGACTCATGGGGAAACCGGACACCCTCTCCCATTGCCCAGACCACCCAAAGGGGAGGGATGACAACATAGACATGACCCTCCTACACCCGGACTGGTTTGAAGTCAGGGCCACAGAAGGAGCCATGGTGGAAGGGGAAGAGGCGAACATCCTAGACAGGATACGCAGGGGGAGGGACAGAGACGAGGGAGTAGTGAAGGTGCTGAGGGAGTTAGAGAAAGGGACTCTGAGATCGGATGAATGGGAGAAGGAGGGGGAGCTGGTCCTCCACCGAGGATGGGTGTATGTCCCCAAAGACCTGCAACTCCGCCATGACCTGGTGCAACTCGACCACAACTCAGTGGCAACTGGCCACCCTGGGCGGTGGAAGACCCTGAAGCTCGTCTCCCGGAACTATTGGTGGCCCAGAATGGCTCAGTACGTCGCACAGTATGTCTCCGGGTGTGACACCTGCAACCGAGTGAAGTCCTTCCCATCCCGGAAGGTGGGGAAGCTAATCCCAAACAAGATCCCCTCCTGCAGATGGCAAGTGATCTCGGTGGATACCATTGGCGAGCTCCCAGACTCCAAAGGGTACAATGCAATCCTGGTAGTGGTGGACCGACTTTCCAAGTGTATCCATGCAAATCCCCAGTCACCACTATGGACTCGGCAGGCGTGGCCTGGCTCTTCTTAGAACATGTCTGGAAGCACCATGGCCTCCCAGAGGAAGTGCTCAGTGACCGGGGCAGTGCTTTTGTCTCCCAGTTCTCCAAGGAATTGGCAAGCCTTCTAGGGATTAAGCTTTCCCCCTCAATGGCCTATCACCCACAAACCGATGGCCAGACAGAGCGTGTCAACCAGGAGATAGAAGCCTACCTCCATGTGTTTGTCAACCACAGACAAGATGAGTGGGCTGACTGGCTACCTCTTGCTGAATTTGCATACAACAACCATGTTCATTCCTCCACCCACTGTACCCCCTTCGAGCTCGACTCTGGGCAACACCCATGCATGGGAACTGAACCAACCCACACATCAGAGGTCGAAGCAGTTGACGACTTCGCCTCTCAAATGATGAAAATGCAGGAAGAGGCGAAGGCAGCCCTAGAGCATGCAGCAGATGAGATGGCCTGGTACTATGACCGAAACCGGAGAGCAGCACCAAGGTACAAAGTTGGGGACAGGGTCTGGCTCAGCACCCAGAACTACACAACAGACCGGCCCACCAAAAAACTCGACCACAAATGGATCGGCCCGTTCCCAATTACCAAGGTAGTGTCCCCAGCAGCAGTAAAGCTGCAGCTCACCCCACAGCAGAAGGGGATCCACCCAGTAGTCTCAGTCACCAATGTCCGCCCCTACCTCCCAGATGAAATCACAGGATGCCCAGCCAACCCGCGCCCAGGCCCAGATGTGGTAAATGGGGAAGAGGAGTATGAGGTAGAAAAGGTCCTAAACTCCAGATATAGGTATGGACGACTCTGGTACCTTGTCAAGTTCATGGGCTGGCCACACTCGGAGAATGAATGGCTTCCCTGGGAGAACTTAGAGCATTCCCCAGACCTCGTGGAGGGATTTCACCAAGCCCACCCCACAGCCCCCAAACCGACAAGGACCAGAAGACCCCACCAACCAAGAACGTCAGCCACTTCGAGGCAAAGCGGCATAGAGGGGGGTGATGTCAGGGCACAGCCCTTGACCCCACTCACCCTCAGACACTCTCACCCTTTCCCTAACCACCCTCTCCCCACATTTCCCCATTCCCCCTATCCTTCCCCCCACTGTTTCACACAATGATGCGCATGCACGAACCCATGGGAACGTTCTGGGTGAGCAGCTCACCCAGAACTTTCCCACAGGTCACACTTGTTATGGAAAGTCAGCAGCAAGCGGGAACTGTATAGTTCCTAGGGTCCTTTTGTGTCAGCCTCACAGGGGGCTGAGAAGCTTACCCTTCTCAGCTCATTCCCTGTGAAGGCTGAGGCTAGTCCCCTCAGCGACTTCGAGGAGTTAGCAGCTGGGGAGAGCACCCCAGCTTCCACACCTGGCCTTGCCCTCCAGCCACTCCCAGCTGGGGTCCGGATCCTGACAGAGGTGTCATGAGGAGTGAGAGGAGGAGGGTGGCGAGAGGAGTGATGTTCGGTCCGAGGTGAGTATTGGAGTGGACAGAGATAAGGTAGGAGAAGGATGGCAGGGTGTAGGTGATGTGAGGGGTAAGAGGGGGAGTGCTGTCAGGTCCAAAGGTGAATATCGGAATGGACGGTGGTAGGGTAGGACTCTGGAGGTGGTGGAGATGGGGGTCCGGGAGTCGGATCGGGATTGGGTATGTATGGATATGACAAGGACCTCATAAGACAACTAGCAATGACACAGTGCTCCACCTGAGTTGCTGAGGCCAAGGTCCCTCCTTTCTGCTCTGGATGCTCCAGTTAACCTCCCCATAACAGTTGGAACCTACCCCTTACATCCACCTGTCACGACCCGACATATCCGACACTTCCCTCTACACGTCCTAGTGTCACTTGGCCCATCCCTCCCGCTATCATCACCATCCGTCCACCCGTCACCCTCATCCGCACTTCCTCCCTCACGCGCGTACCTCCCAACCTAGGTTGCCCGCTTCATTGTTGTCCGCCCCCAGCCGGACGGCTTGCTAGACGGCCGGATGGCCTTTTCTCTTTTGTCCGCTTGCGGACTATTGTTCCTCCTATTGTTCCTTGCTTTCCTTTTGTTGACCAAGTTTGCCGATATTGATTATTTGTTCCTTTCTTCATTCATTAATATCGCGCTTGATCCGCCACTCCTTCCGGGCCGCTCTCATTTAGTTACTTGTGTTTATAACGTGTGTAGGTTACACCGGATGTACCTCAGTTCGTATATCGACTTGGATTCCCCCTCTGAACTCTTATCCTCATCGTAAGGCTTCTGTCTGAAATTGGGACACCAACGTAAGAACGAAGCGCAGCGCTCCACCCGAGTCGCTGAAGCTAAAGTCCCGCCCCTCCGACCTTACGAGCCCAGACGACCTCGCGCGCCTCGCGGGTCACCCGGATACGCTTCTGGCACGTTCCTGACACCACCCTACAGTGACATTTATGTAATTCAAATGATAGTCTCATCTAAAAATGGGTACAAAAATAGTTTTGACACATTCTTTGAGACCCTGGGGTTGAGCAATGGCCAAACTGACACCCCTTGAGCAACTAACACCAAGTCTGACTATTAGTACACAATTCACCAGTCTAGCAATCCCTAGTTCCAGTGTGACATTGTGTCCACTGTGACCCATGAACAAAACTTTCCATGTTGAGTTGAGTTGGCTGAGCCCCTATGACCATGAGAGTATCAGGCCAGCATAGGCCTAGACGATGCTCTTGTGGCACCCAAAAGAGAAGCAGTCCATCTGCTGTGGTAACCCAGCCATCATCACAAAGCAAGGCACTGGAGAACATCAGTGTTCCATTGCACACATTTGAAAGGCCTGGAATGGTGGTATCAGTTGAGATGGGGAAAAAGCCACAATTGAGACATACAGCTGGCCGCCCATGCCAAAGTAGGCAATGATGGGACTGTCTTATCTATCAAGGTACTCTCAGCAGGGAATGCAATGGATCTGACCAAATCAGAGTGCCCCTGCAGATGCTTGCCAATTGGCATCCTGGATGTGGCATCCCAAATTCGCACTGTCTTGTCTCCAGAGCCTGAGACAATGCGGGTGCCATCAAGAGAGAATGCAACTGATGTGACCCAATTGGAGTGCCCTTGCATAGGCTCACCAATTGGCACCCCAGATGTGGCATCCCAAATCCGCACTGTCTTGTCCCAAGAGCCTGAGACAATACGGGTACCATCAGAAGAGAATGCAACTGATGTGACTGAATCAGAGTGCCCTTGCAGAGGCTCACCAATTGGCACCCTGGATGTGGCATCCCAAATTCGCACTGTGTTGTCCCCAGAGCCTGAGACAATGCAGGTGCCACTGGGAGAGAATGCAACAGATGAGACCCAATTGGAGTGCCCTTGCAGAGGCTCACCAATTGGCACCCCAGATGCAGTATCCCAAATTTGTAGTGTGTTGTCCCTAGAACCTGAGACAATGTGGCTGCCATCAGAAGAGAATGCAACAGATGTGACCAAATCAGAGTGCCCATGCAGAGGCTTGCCAATTGGCACTCCAGATGGGGCACCCCAGATTTGCACTGTGTTGTCCCGAGAACCTGAGATAATGTAGGTGCCATTGGAAGAGAATGCAACAGATGTGACTGAACCAGAGTGCCCTTGCAGAGGCTCACCAATTGGCACCCTGGATGTGGCATCCCAAATTCGCACTGTCTTGTCCCCAGAGCCTGAGACAATGCAGGTGCCATCAGAAGATAATGCAACTGATGTGACTGAATTAGAGTGTCCTTGTAGAGGCTTGCCAATTGGCACCCCAGATATGGCATCCCAAATTCGCACTGTGTTGTCCCCAGAGCCTGAGACAATGCAGGTGCCATCAGAAGAGAATGCAACTGATGTGACTGAGTTGGAGTGCCTTTGCAGAGGCTCACCAATTGGCACCTCAGAAGATGCAGCATCCCAAATTCGCACTGTCTTGTCCCAAGAGCCTGAGACAATGTGGGTACCATCAGATGAGAATGCAACAGATGTGACCCAATTGGAGTGCCCTTGCAGAGGCTTGCCAATTGGCACCCCAGATGTGGCATCCCAGATTTGCACTGTGTTGTCCTGAGAGCCTGAGACAATGTGGGTGCCATCAGGAGAGAATGCAACAGATGTGACCCAATTGGAGTGCCCATGTAGAGGCTTGCCAATTGGCACCCCAGATGTGGCATCCCAAATTTGCACTGTGTTGTCCTGAGAGCCAGAAACAATGTGGCTGCCATCCAAAGAGAATGCAACAGATGTGACCAAATCAGAGTGCCCATGCAGAGGCATGCCAACAGGCACCTGAGATGTGACATCCCAAATCCGGACTGTCTTGTCCTCCGAGCCTGAGACAATGTAGGTGCCATTGGAAGAGAATGCAACAGATGTGACTGAACCAGAGTGTCCTTGCAGAGGCTCACCAATTGGCACCCTGGATGTGGCATCCCAAATTCGCACCGTCTTGTCCCCAGAGCCTGAGACAATGCAGGTGCCATCAGAAGAGAATGCAACTGATGTGACTGAATCAGAGTGCCCTTGCAGAGGCTCACCAATTGGCACCTGGGATGTGGCATCCCAAATTTGCACTGTTTTGTCCCAAGAGCCTGAGACAATGTGGGTACCATTGGAAGAGAATGCAACAGATGTGACAGAACTAGAGTGCCCTTGCAGAGGCTCACCAATTGGCACCCCAGATATGGCATCCCAAATTCGTACTGTGTTGTCCCAAGAGCCTGAGACAATGCGGGTGCCATCAGAAGAGAATGCCACTGATTCAACAATGTCCCAGTGCCCTGTAAGTGCCTGACAAACCACAGGCCATTGTTTGGAAACCTGCCCCTGAATGGACAGAGTGTTCTGGAATGCATGACATGCATATTGTAGAACAACAGATTGAGGTGAAAATGGTAAAGCTGACAGATAGATGTGTGGGAGGCTCTGACTGATTGGATACCCAAATGCATTCACAAATTTGTATGCTTCTGAGATGATTTCTTCAAGCCCTTGTGCATGATTCTATCAATAAGTCGGTCAATTATGACCATTGCACATGAGAAAAGCAACTTACACTAGCCCAACTGACCAGCCTCCTTAGAATTACACTCAACATGGAGATCCGACCCATCACACTGAACACTTCAATCCAGTGAAAGAATTGGTGAAGGAAGAAATTCATGATCTCATCTATAAGAGGGGGCAAGGTTGGTTCTAACACAGATCCAAATTCCAGATGGTCTGCCCAGTATTGGCTTGCATACATCAGTGCAGGTGTAATGGCTTGATTGACACATTCCTGAAGCCCCTCAATATCCTTGTTTCGGTGATAGGATGTCTCAATCCCACAGATGTTAAATTTGAGATCTCGTTGCATGATTCGGAGACAGCCAGATGCGAGGTCAAAGTGATGGACAGATGGGTTGACAAACCATCGCAAATCTTGACACCGATTGGGGTTGCACAGGAAATCGGTGAAAGATGTGTGCAAGACTTGAACAGGATGCCCATAGCCCCCCTTCAGCAGCGGTTGTAACTGCGAGAGTGTAGCTCGGACCTTCCCTATGCCCAACCCCAGGAGCTGACTAAGCTGCTCATCCGCTAGCTGCTCACGAGCGGCGATGATTGCACCAACAATGGAATGAACAACTTCAAATTCGCTTTCGCTGTAGGACTTGAATGGATGAGTAAGAGCGACTTGATACAACTTGTTCAACCCGTTGTCCAACGGGTCATGTACTAATCCATTCAATACTGTTTCCAACCGTTCTTCAGGAAAGCCGGATTCAATGAAGCGAATGGTTGTAGATGCCCAGATGAATAGACCCCCGGACAGAGTAACTAGTTGTTCTATGACGGGTTCTGTCGGCCAATCGGGTGGCAGACAATGCATTTCGAAGGCATCGGCATTGCTGGCAAGACGTTGTTGGAAAAGCAGCTTGATATCGGACGATGTCGACTTATCGCCGATCGGTGCATCCTGCACATCGACACCCAGGCGTGATAGGGAAGCATGAATGTCGGGCTCGTCTCGACTAGCTACCAACAATCGGAGCATACTCGGAAGCCTGGCAAGGCCTTCGGAGAATGTGCGAAGGAGATTTCTCCTCGTTCCTGCAGTCCCACACTCGTCAAGGGCATCGAGGACGATTACAATAGGGGCCAGATCGGACTCTCTTGCGAGTTCGGCCAGAGGCTCCTCGAGAAGATGCTTGAATTGAATATCGAGGGGCGATGTAGTAATGTCGGGCAAATTTTCGATCTGTGCAGCCAGTTTCGCCCGAATTTGAGGTTTGAAACGACCCAGCTGGAAGGCAAGGGTACGAATCACATGGACAGGGTCACTGTTGACAGGGTCATTTCGGTCCCAAAACAGAAAAGCGCCGCGTCGGTGCAGCTCCGAGAAGTATTGAGCAACGGAATTGAGTATCGTACTCTTGCCGGATCCAGCCGGTCCACGAAACCAGATGATGTTATGACCGGAAGGATCTATCAGCGAATTGATGAGGTTTTCCAGGATGTCCACCCGGGTCCCGGGTAAACATGCCTCTCGGTTTCCAGCATCCATGGTCACGGGGTGTAGAGCTTTCAATGCTTCGATCTCAACTGTAATCCCTGAAGTTAAGCAGTGTCCTGTGCACAATGGAGGCAATCGCACCAAGTTTTTCCACATCCTTGGATGTTTGGGCTGAGACGAATGCAGCGTGAGCCGTTACTCCAAGGTGAAGGATTTCATTGAGTTTATTCAGCGCATGCGAGAGGTTCGAGATAGTTTGGGAGGTGTTTGAGAACGTTTGGTGTACCAGTCGGCCTACGCACACTGGCTGTTCAGCCCTGAACGAAGCAATCAAGCATTCAGCTTACCTGCGAACCCATGGGACACATACTGCTTAATGAAAATACCGCATTCGGTCATTTGGACAGAGACTCGGATAATGACGCGCTCGAGAGACTTAATTTTGTTTTCCAATTCATCGACATCATCGACGAACGAATAGAGATCAACCATAGAATCAACGAGATCACGAAGTGCGTCATCTCTCTCGATCTGTCCTTGAATGGCCTACCACAATCATCGTCAGTGTGCACATACTCGCGTCATGATAAGGACGAGTCCATACTTGATACGCCGAACTCAAGACTCGCCAAGCAATATTTGCGTAAGGATGGAGCTTTTCAACGACGTCAGCGCAAATCCAAAGACATACCGTGGAGGAACGTGTTACCTTGGCTGTTTTATCGACAAGATCCGCCACGGCCTTTGTCTTTTGGACCACCCGTTCGAGCGAGTCCACAACGCCGCTGCCCAGATCTCGGACAGCAGCAGCGGAGTGAATAACATATTGAACCGGCTCGAGAACCGCGGGCGAAGTAGGCAGCCCATGGCCAACGCCGTGAGTTGCGTTTTCCACAGCGGCTTCAAGGGCACGTGCCGTAGTGTCCCGCAGCTGCACAATGAGCGAGCCTGCCTCTCGGCCTCGTTTATCACGGAGTACTAGGGTAGTTCCTAGAGTAATGCAAAATGAGACTACACACGGAGGCAAGACTAAGGATAACCAGCTCACGTTGGTCATTCTCGCAATGATCTAGCAACTCCTCTATCTTGATGTCCACCGAACCAAGCAGATCGGCGGGTAAATACGACCCACGGGAGTGCTTGAGGTGAAAGGAAAGGACGGAAGATAATCCCGCAGTCCTGATCGTGTGCTTCAGTGGACTATCCGGGCTGATCTACCCTAACCACAAGGAACCTACAGAGAACAAGAGTACTCCCAAGTTGGCGTCGAGTCTCGTTTCACCTCGGTTTTCTCAAATTTATTTCCCGACAGGACGGGCCTAACATAAAGAGCTGGGGACGTTTTCTTGACATCTCTAGCTGCGAAGACTGCCTCGAAATGAGGATATGGCATAAACACTGTAGCAGGGAAGTGACACACTGGCTAGAGAGTAAACGCGTTTGGAGTGTCCGGGAGTTGTCATGGCCAATTGGGCCTGGATGGCTAGACGCTGTGGATGGAAAGTAGTTCGTTGCAACAGTTTCGCGTGTTGCTCGAGGTACAGAGTGAACCCCTTTGCAAAAAATCACGTGTTTGACAAATCATGGTTTAATATCCTTATTTCACACGACTAATCACGATGGTATCTAGCGCTGAATGGTGCCGCATGGTCCTGCGTTTTTGCAGCGCTGATGGGACCTTGCGGGTGTTCACTAGTCCTCGCGTTTATTGTCTTCACGTGATTTTCACGTGTGTTGTCCCTTCTCCCCGCTCCCTCAGCGCTGCCTTCGCGTTTGCTCCATCGGGACTGGTAAGTCCTCACTTGGTTGCAACGGGGCCGGAAACTTACATGTGCGCTTCAGACAAGTTGTCTGCATTGAAGTTTCCCCTCAATCTTTTGTCGCGCTGTGCATCCTAGTGAGTTCATCTCACTTGTGCTTACTCCTTGCGGAGTCTTACTGCAGCACTCGTGCTGCCTCAGTTCTGCTTCTAGCGTTTATTCTCCTGTTTGTTGCGTCCACCCACCTCCTCCCCTTTTTCACCACCCCGATACTATGTATCTGTGTTTGTATCTGTTTTCTCGATTTGTCATTGTTGACCAATCCTTTTGGCATCGTCGTATCTCTTTGTATATTACCAAGACAGGTCGCACGATGCCCGCGCGCGTCAATCTATAGGCCGGGACCAGCTCGGTTTCCGGCCGTTTTCACTAACATACCGTCTGATTAGTATGCAGAAATCACTCACTGCACTACAGCCTTTTCTAAAATTTCTGTCCGATCAAAGTGAATGGGTATTGACCCCGTTCGTAAAAAAAATCACCCAAAAATGATCAAATTTCTTGTATTTTTATTTTTCAATACAGTAGAGCGCCGCACAGCCATACCCATTCCCGACCACAACGATTGATCCTACCCTTCACACTGGCCATGATCAGACTGTGTCCTAAGCTACGCCATGTGTTACGAAAAGTTCTGGACATCGTCATGTTTTCCTCACCTGCTTTGATTCTATCCGAAACAGCGACTGTGTGTCAACTATCATATTCTCAACAACTTAGACAAGCGTGCCCACTGGAATGATGACCATTAGCCCCGCACCCGCACCTGAAAACACCCCAGCAAGCATTCCAACAGTGCTTGCTGATGTACATGAAGCCTCGTTGCTTCAGGCTGAGCTGGTGGGAGACAGAAACACCACTGTATCTCGATATCTGCTGTATTTCGTGGAGGCAAAGATAGAGCTTAAGCTCTATATGCTCTTGGATAAGCTACTTGATAACTAAGTGCTGGAATCAACTGTTGTAAATGGCATTCTGGATAAGGCAACCCGGTTCCCAGCGGCTCACTCGTAGCACAGATGTAAGATAGAAGCGGGAATATAACTAGTGATTTGGGGATGATGTCCGTGCGTATATATATACAAAGGAATGAATAAAGAGGAAAATATATGTAAGGCAACTCTTGTGCAGGCTGCGCGCTTAGTAAAATCCTCCACATTACTGTCCTATAATGACCATAAGTTCGTCGCATGTCGCATGTCGATTTTGGATTGAATTGAAAATGAACATGATTGAATTGATTCGACACCTCCGGCAACTCCCGGAGGCCGTGGGAATGAACTAATGGTCGTTATACCACAGTATCCTCCACATGCGCCCCGGATATCTCCGGTGACTTGCATTTCTGTCAGAGACGGGATTATTGTCAGAGGCTGGAATGCTTGTCAGAGACTGGGATATTGTCGGAGTCGGACAAACTGTCAGAAGATGGATGGAAGATGGATTGGGTTCTGTCTGAGTTGAGGTCGGAGGTGATGCAGAGGTCTGTTGGAGCGCGCGCGCGGATATGCGGGTGGAAATATGCGGTGCGTCCGGAAGTGCTGTTCAAGGTTAGCAGAGTGGGATTGCAGCCTCAGCGACTCAGGTGGAGCGCTGTGCCCTGAGCTTGACATTTGGGGGAGATCCCGTATTTACAAACTGACACTTACAGCGGACTTCAAACAAGACTTGCAGGCGGAGCGGACCTGTAGGAGGAGCGCGGACTCCACGAGCACGGACTCAGAGGGGGGAAGCCCCCTTTGCAGAAGGAGGGACTCAGACCAGACAGGGGGGTACTCTAGTTGATTTCAGACTGAGGTCCCCAAAAGTATTTACAAGGTATATAAATAGGCAAGAGGGAATATAGAAAGGCCGGTCAGTCCGGCGCGGTCCGGCGCGGAGATAAGCGGGGATTGTCAAACTAAATAAGGACAAGAGCCCGGGAACTGGAAACGAGGAACAGATCAATAAACAATAAGTGGCAAGGGTTATTGATGAATAACTGAATGAGATCAATAACCTAGTGCCAATAAAGAGGGGACCAAATGCCGATATTGGCAGGGAAGCAAACAATAAATGGCACTCGGCAAGGAATGAATGATAAGCTGCCAAGTGACAAATGGCCAGAGGAAAAGCGGAGGTCAGCGCGCGGCGCCGATACAAGTCCGCAAATAAGCGGGGTCGGTGCGGTGCCGACACAAGTCCGCGAACAGAGGTTGACCTGCCAGCACTGTCACACAAGGACAGCATGAAGGCCAACAGAGGTACAGAGGGAGTGGGAGTGTTGACCTGACCAGAGGTGTCAAGGGCAACCAGAAGTGGCCAGAAGGTGCAGAGATGGGCAGAGGGTGCGGAGTGGGCAGAGGGTGCGGAGTGGGCAGAGGGTGCGGAATGCACGGAAGCGGGGCATGGCTGTGACCACATAGTGGGAAGCGATGAGTGTGGTTCGGATGGAGACAAGGCAGGCATGACTGAATGCCAGGAGCGCCAAGGGCTCAGGAACTGGAGGTAAGGTCAGAATACCGGCAGGGTCTAGGTTCTGATTATTGGCCAAGTCTCACGCAGTAAGGCAGGGGGCCAGACATGGGGTTGGGGGCTGGTTAGGATGGGTTTCGGGTCAGTGGATTCGCCTATCGGCATTGGTTTGCCGCTGACGGAGCCCCGGGATTTGTCGGTCGTGACAATTTCCAACATCAACTGTGATCTATCATACTCACATCCAGATCCTAGCTGTCAAGTTCACAACTACACCCACGGTTGCCAACTTTATCACAGGGGTCCCTTGGTGGTGAGAGAATGTGGCAACTCTGTGGTCACTGAGATGGGCAATTTGTGCAACCTCCTTGGTAGTGAGGGTTGAGGACATGAGGACAATGTGTCACTTCATGTATGGGACACATGTTTGGTACCCATGAGATGGTAATGGTATGGAAGCTTGGTTAGGCTGATGTGAGGAGGATTGAGAGCAAGATCACTGTTTCTGTCATATCCATCCACAGCCATCATCCTCCACTACCTCCGGTCCTTCCGGATTACCTCCACTCCTTCATCACTAACCTCAGAGCTGTCATATCTGTACATACCCAATCCCAAACCGACTCCTGGACCCTCATCTTCATCACCTCCGGAGTCCTACCCTATCTCTGTCTGCTCCAACATCTACCTTCAGACCGAACATCACTCCTCATACCACACTCTTCCTCTCACTCCCCATCCATCCCTCTCCTACCCTACCTCCATCTGCTCCAATACTCACCTTTGGACCTGACACCATTCCTCCTCCACTCCTCTCCCCACTCCTCTCATCACTCTCCTCCCTCCTCCCCTCTTCCACCAAACCTCTGCCAAGTTATGACCTTCCACCGCCGTCCTGTACCTTGTACTTGGACACTGCCCATACCTTTGCTCCAAGATCCCATCTTAGTCCTGACCTCGGACTTAGACCCCACCTCGGCTTAAGTACATTGCATTGGTGACCTCATTCTACGTAAGCACCATTGCCAACATTCCTTGGACTTCCAACCCTGCCTCCGCAACCTCCGTAAGCTCTGCAACTGTCAGAGACCGGATTCGAGACGAGGGAGAGTCTCCGTAGCGGAGGGCTTTGGCCTCAGCGACTTATGCCAAGAGCGCTGTGCCTAGTGACACGTCCGTGCCCTAACTTACTGACTGGCAATCAGAACCGAAGGGGGGTAACTCTAGTTGATTTTATTACTGGAGTGTAACCTATGTACAAGTTGGATATATATATGGTTACAGCGGAGACGGGTCCGCAATTGGCGGAGCCGAATGGAGCGGAGCTAACGGGGTTAAACATTAGCCAACTGAATATTACCGATGAGTCGGGTTGCAGGGTTTAGCGGGAAGGCAG